GTGTAGCGCGTTCTTCGTTTTCATACGTAGGCGCAGCCAACGCATGTTTGCGTGGCGACGCGCGGGGGCGGGGGACTTTTAAATTTTTTTTTATGTTTAAACAGCCCCGATGCTGGCGACGTACACTGTACGTCGTCAGTCACGAAGGGGTTAAAACGGCTCTCTTGGCTCTGCAGTAAATGCGGCAGATTAAGTAAACATAAAAGAGATTGATTTAATCAGAAACGACCAGTAGAAAGGGTTTGCTTTACCCGGAGGAATAGGACTCCCATTCTCCTAAGACACTAGCATAAAACAAGCATGATGGAAGTAGTTCTACCTGGATGACTAACAACTTTGGTTTGCCATTGCCTGTAGGCAGCAATATAACCCAGTTGTCCCAGAATCTTTCTGACCCTGTATCCCTTAATGATTTGATTAAGAAGCACATTTTTAGTAGTAGTCATTCTGTATCTCACCTTGAGAAAGGAGAGCTTTGTGTGAAAATGTTACGTTGGTTTATGAAACTCCAGTAAAATCCTTATACTGGAACCTGATGTGCTGGCAATTATTTTGTATTTAGTTTTGCACGGTGCCACTGTAGGCCGAGCGCCCTGTCTACCTTTTGGTGCTGTATGGAATTTGTGTACAGGGTGGATTGGGACATTGTTGACATGCCTCCTGTCTGGCCAACAGCTGAGCATCCCCTCTTTTTTTCATTGGTATTGGGCATTGTTTGAATCATTTTCTAGTAGTGAGGGAGGGATGTTTGCTTATTAAATCCTTTGTTTTGCTGCAATTACTGCACACTGTGTGGGATCGCATAGTTTCATAGGAAGGCAGAATAGTGTTTGTGTTGGAAAAAGCTTCTGCTTGCACTAATATAAATCCAGTCTGTGTTTGTGATGGACTGAGCAGATATGATGATGCCTAATTTATTATTACCATTATTATTGTGGAGGCAAGTCATTAGTATCATGTTTCTGGACGCTGTTTTTTATTTTTATTTTTCCTTTTTTTTTTTTTCCGTTTTGGACAGCATCACGATAAGAGTTTATTTGCTGCCCTTTGTCCATGCAGGGTAAAGCAACAGGTTCACTTTAATAGCAGCCCCACCAGCAACTTTGCTGCTCTACCACTGGTGGTAAAAAAATGCATACTTCCATGTATGTGGGAGCAGGTAACTCTCTACTCTTCCTCTTATGTGGCAGTTCGGGTGCTTGGTAATTGGCTACTAAGGCACCCAAATTTGCCTAGAGGTGGGCTTTAAGTGCCATGTGGAAGATTGGAAGTCCTAGGCAGTTTGGATTTGTAACCAAGCAAAGGGAAGTCTATGCTGTCAATCCTCCATTCCTGATGATGTGCTATTGCACATACCAATACAAAGCTAATAAAGGATATGAAAACCCCAAAAATCATCTCTCTCATTCGGCCCATTTTGGTCCAGTAGAGATTCCAGATTTTTGTGACATCTGTTCTGAAGACTACAGAACCTAAAGAGAAGAGGGGGAGATTTTCCATAGTTGTGTCCTATAGTGACCTTGCTGCTTCCCCATCTATAGAGTACACTGTCACCTGAGGACAAGGTGTTACTGGCAGGATCACCAGGTAGAAATAAAAGTAAAAACTCTGGGGGGGGGTGGGGGGGTTATAAAAAGACTCTTAAGCTGTAATATATAAAATGTTTTTTCTTGGGTTTAGATTAGGGCTGTGGAAATTAAGGATTAATTCCTCGATTAATCGTTAAACTTTTTGATCGATGAAAATTGTTTTGATCGCTAATTAAAACGCCTCTCCGCCGGCTTCCGGGAGTCCCGTTGGAGATCCGGTGACGTCACCGACATCACCGGACTCCTCCCTCCTTCCCCAAGTGGCTCCGTTGGCTAACGAAGGGAAGGGGGGAGGAGTCTGGTGACGTCGATGTCCGTGACGGCTAACGAAGGGAAGGGGGGAGGAGTCCCGTGACGGCTAACGAAGGGAGATGAGCCGGTGACGTCGATATCCGTGACGTCACCGGACTCCTCCCACCCTTCGTTAGCCGACGGAGCCACTTGGGCCGGTGAGTTTGCCCAAGAAACTTTCTGCACGAGCGCCAGCCAAGCCATTGGCCTATACACATACAGCACAGCAATGAAGTAATAAAATTAACTAGGATCACACTAATCCAGCACGTTATTATTCTGAGTTGCCCCACTCAAGCGGCGGCCATATTGAGTGGGGCACGTGAGATTAATAACGTGCAGGATTAGAGTGATCCAAGTTCATTTTATTACTTCATTGCTGTGCTGTATGTGTATAGGCCAATGTAGTTGGATCTGTATGTGCATTTATAATCGATTTTAAAAAAATGTGATTAATCGAAATTTTAATCATTACCAGCCCTAGTTTAGATACACTTTAAGGAATACATAATCATCATAAAATGATCACCATCAGTTGTGTTCCTGTAAACTACTACTGATCTTTCCTGACACCCCTCTGCTGGATATTTCGGGGTAAGAATCAATTGTTGGGGTGGATACATCCCGGGTTATCGACTCTTCGTTTGAATGGGTCAGCCTGAGGTGTCTGCAAAAGGCGTAGACGTGCACACTGAATGGATTAGAGGCATGCTAACTAGTGAACGTTTCTGGCACATTAGTGTGATGAACGTGTATTGCATCTCTAGGTACCTTTCATTCACTATTGTGGAGAGCTTTATGAGCTGATAACGGAACAGTACAAAAGCCCATGCAGGATATAGATATATCTATCCAACGCATGTTGCTGTGACTCTGCACTTTATTATTTTCTCTCTTCCTTTCTATCTCTATTGTGTCTTTCTATTCAGATGTGGCACCATTACACCATTGTGTGAGCCCTGCTGCTACTACTGTCTTCCTTCTTTTTTTTGTCTAGCTAAGACCTGCATGCCTTCTGTATCATACTGTGCCATTTCTATGGTAACTGTGCAGGCAAAGCGAGAGCCTGATTGCTTTCCTGCAGGCAATAAGAATAGGAGGTAAATTAAGTTAATGCTTGGTACAGCACATCACTTGAGGTAGACCCTTGTTCCTCATCACTGTACCGTTACTTAGTAGTATTGTACCGAGAGGACTGTTAACACAGCATAGGGTAGGCTGCTATTGTTACATGCTTATACCATATAAGTTTCATTCAACCAATGACAATGGGTCAGCTACATTTTTTTTATATTGTCTGTACTTTTGATCCCTTGGAATATTATAATGTGCTACCTGTACAACAGAAAGGACGATTTCAGAGGCAAAACTCTCAATAAGATCCTGTAGTGTTTGGCCTTGAAAGTCTACATATGTAGATTTCTTCAAATTAGCTTTTTCTTTTTTTGGTGTACAAGTTTCAGTGGCAAATATTGTGCCTACGTTTCAGCAAAAATAACTCACACTTGCCACTCCTGGGGAGAAATATTTTACACAAAGAGTATCTGATCCTAAATTGGGTGACATTTAGTCATCGTCATTTTAATTTTTTTGTATCTGTTCTGCTGCTCTCCTCCAACCTTTATTCAGACACTTCCTGTGTAAATGCACGCACTCTAGCATCGGCTACACATAGTTGCTCTGGACTGGCTTTCTGAAATGCTTGTGTGATGTGTGTCAGCATGGCTGCTTGTAATCTTCACCAGTGCTGCATGTGACAGGGTAACAACACAGGAGCAGCACTGGGAGACATTTGGCACCCCCATAAACAGGAAGTGCCTGAACAACCTCCTTCATGGCAGGATCACTAGGTAGTATTTTAATCAACTTTCGAAATCGAAGCTTATGATCTTTTAGTCATTATACTATCACTAAACCTATTCTGCAAATGAAAAGGAATAAATAGCTTTGGGTCCTCTCGCTCTCTCTCTCTCTCTCCCCTTACAAATAATACATTACAAAGGATTCTCCGAGCACTATGTGCAAGCTAAAGAGGCACAACAGAGCTGATTGAGTTGTTACAATTTGTTAAACTGACGGTAATGGGGGAAAAAAAATTCTATTAACCTGAATCTAGATTAACCCCACACCATAAATACATCGCAGCTTTAACATTGGTGACATCACTATTGGGCAGAAACTTTCTTGTGCTACAAGCTGCGGCTCTGTTTATAAGCCATCAGCCACTGAAAATCTGTGTCGAAATGTAAGTGTAAACGCAATGTATTTCTCTTATTTGCTCCCTTTAAATCAGGGATGTCCAAACTGCGGCCCCCCAGCTGTGGTGGAACTACGAATCCCATGAGGGTTTGCAAGATTCTCAGACCTGTCTCCCGGAGAGAGAAGCTTCATGGGATTTGTAGTTTCACCACAGCTGGAGGCCGGAGTTTGGACATCCCTGCTTTAAATATTTACTTGAACGCTTTTTGTTATGTCTGTTCAGTACGTGTCTGTTGATCCTGCCATAATGCAAGTGAGCTGAGCTGACAGTGTCGCACTTAAGTCTCAAACAATGCTATCTGGAATTCACTCTGTGGACTACAGAACCCTTCCTCCTTATGTTATAGAGTATAGGTATTCTGTAGTCCTAGGTCATAATGCTGTGCCTCCACAAATAGGGTGCAGTGACTAGCAGGGTTATTCACAAAAGGGTGAAGAGTCTGGAGAAGGCAGGAGAAGTGAACAATCTAGGACAACATAGCTGGCATGGAAAAATTCTCCAATTCAGCTCACTTTCCAGTTCAGCTATGTTGTCCTAGATTGTTCACTTCTCCTGCCTTCTCCAAACTCTTCACCCTTTTGTGAATAACTCTTAAGTGTTGTCACGCTAGCACAGGAAATGTGTTACTGATCAGATCAAATCTAAGGACGGATGAGCTGCAATATATTAATTTTTTTGGGTTAGGATACACTATATAAGTATATGATAAAAAGCATCATTTTAGTTTTCACTTTATTGTCGGGGTAAATCTGTATACAGATATATTTTTCTGTTGCCTCGAGATAAAAATATAAAATGCATGCTGATTGAACCGTGCCTTGTGATGCGGCAGATCTGAGGTCTCTGCTCTTTCTCCCCAGTGACATTCTGCTGAAGACATGATTGATATAAAGGCCTGGGCCGAGTACATAGTAGAATGGGCTGCCAAGGACCCATATGGTTTCCTTACAACGGTGATCCTGGCCCTCACCCCGCTCTTCATCGCAAGTGCAGTGCTCTCCTGGAAGCTGGCTAAAATGATTGAGGTCAAAGAGCGGGAACAGAAGAAGAAGCAGAAAAGACAAGAAAACATTGCAAAAGCAAAGAGAACAAAGAAAGATTGAGCGGAACGGGCTGGCAACATTAAAAACTGTTTAAAAACTAAGACGCTTTTTATACATATTATTTTCTTCTAATGATTGTGGAATGTCTGACCAATTTGGATACTCTTAGCAGCGTTTTAAACACTTGTCACTGCAGAAATATCCTGTTATCTTTTCTCCTGAATACTAATGACATGATTTAATGGTCTTTTTTTTAATTCCTTGTGCGTTTACTGTTCAGCTGCGTTGGCTTTCTCTGTCATAAAGTTTGCATACATAAAAGGGTTCTTACTCTTCTCCATTTGTAGGCAGTAATTAATTTAGAGGATGTTCTGTGTGTATCTACGGGAATATACTTTCTACATCATAGGATTGGTTTAGTAAACAAGTGGTAGGCATTTACCAGACTCGGAAGATCTTAGGCATCAGTTGGCTGTGGTATTAGTTGCTGGATCCTCATTATTTTTCACTCATTCAGCCATTTCAAAGTAATCATAAGAGCAAAAGCCATATCATCAAATCCAACATGACCTAGGCCAGAGGAAGCCAGCTACATAGGTTTTGGAGGCAATGGACAGATTCTCAGCAAGATTCTAAAACAAGCCCATACTGAGCTCTGTAGCCAAAGGAACTGTAGAGAAGCTCACCCAAAACATTTACAGTAGAAGCAGAAAGTCGGTGTCTCAGCATCTGAGCTTAATCTGCTCCCTCTTCCAGCTGAAACTCTGCAGCCTTGTAATCTGTAATGTATACACAGAGCAGATATTTTAGGAGGGGAAGGAAGATGCACAGAGACCAGACTTGGACTACTTCAGTGCTTTGCTTGTGAACTTTGAAAATGAATTGCTCCACAGTGTATATATATATATGTGTATATATATATATATATATATAAGAATTGATTATCACATGTCCAGACTCCAGAACAGTGTATTATATGTATAGTGTGGAACAGCTGTATCCAATTCTGCATACCTGGCTTTATATTATAAAGTTCTTATAATATAAAGCCAGGTATGCAGAATTGGATAGATTGGACCCACCCCTCTGACCTCTACATCACTAGTGTGATGCTATAGGAGTCAGCAGATGGAACTGCATTGTGTGACAGGTATGCAGGCATCTAACACTCCCATAAATACAATTACAGAAACTGCGAAGGGGAGGATATTGGTATTTATATTGGACTGAGGAACAAGGTGCCTGGGATCAGCGGAAATGATGACTTCATTATTGATTCCCAGCTACTTGGAAATCCTCTTAGAAGTGCTATCATACTCTTTAGGAACTACTACCATTAAAAGGACAGGTGGTCAAGCAAGTAACTCCCTGTGCAGATGGTATGGTCATCCGATGCACTCCAGCAACTTCAACTTCATAACGGCAAAACTGAGATGAGTAAACAATTTTACAGTAATGTAATGAAAAATAAAAACAGTTTAAAACCAACACGTCTCTATATTAAATGTGTATCATCTATTTTAGGTAGGTAAACACCTTTTATTTATGGTAGGGTTAGCTTGTCAATTTGTTTCCGTGTGGTGTACTTGCACACTATGGGCCGGCACAGTGAAGGGAGCATGGAGGCATGGCATCTAAGAGCTTGGACTTGACAGACTGTCCACTAGTTCTAAACTGGTATTTCTTCTACAAGGCATATATTCTTATGGCCAATACGTATTTTGCCTGTTTATTCCCAACAACATGTTTTATAGGTGCAGTTTTCTTTAAGATAATCAAACTGGCTGTTTTGGGCAACACTTTTTAAGATCTTTAGATATATCCTGTACACATCTCTACATAGTTACATAGTATTTGAGGTTGAATACAGACAATAGTCCATCAAGTCCAACCCATTAGGATCTCATTCTAGGAGTACCTGTACCCCTGTATATTACGGTCCCTTAAGAAATCGTCCAAAAGTTTCTTGAACAATTCCACATTATTTGCTGAAATCACCACCTGTGGCAGTGAGTTCCAGACCCTAACTGATCTTACTGTGAAGAACCCCCTTCGCCCCTTGTGCTGGAATTTTTTTTCCACCAATTTTAGGTGGTGGCCTCTAGTTTTTGTAATGGAGTTAATTTTAAACAGTTTATCGCTAATGTTGCTACCACCATTGAACATCTTGTACATGGAAATCATATCCCCCCTTAATATCCTCACCTCTAGTGTGAACATGTTTAAATTTAGTAGCCTTGTCTTGTAGCTCTGGTCCTCCATACCCCTAATTAGTTTGGTTGCCCTCCGCTGGACTTTTTCCAACTCAAGGACATCTTTTCTTAGTACTGGTGACCAGAACTGGACCGCGTACTCCAGATGAGGTCGAACCAATGATCTATAAAGTGGCAAAATTATAGACTTGTCCCTGCAATACATCCCCTTTTTAATACAGGACAAGACCCTGCTAGCTTTGTTTACAGCAGCCTGGCACTGCAAACTACCTTTCAGTTTGTGGTCTACAATGACCCCCAAATCCTTCTCCATTTCTGACTTCCCCAGCGGCATACCCATAATTGTATAACCCATTTGTTTATTTTTAATTCCAAAGTGCATTACTTTGCATTTATCGACATTAAACCTCATCTGCCACATTAATGCCCACTCCCCTATTTTATCCAGGTCCTCCTGTAATGTTATAGTGTCTAAGTCCGTGTCTATTACCCTCCCTATTTTGGTGTCATCCGCAAACACGGAAATATCGCTGTTAACACCCTCCCCGATGTCATTAATAAATAAGTTGAACAATATGGGACCCAGCACAGAACCCTGAGGCACACCGCTCATTACACTAGCCCAGTCTGAAAAGGTGCCATTTACAGATACCCTCTGGACACGTTCCCGTAGCCAGTTCTCTATCCACGTACACACCACCTCATCTATGCCCATAGCCCTCAGCTTGTGTAGCAAGCGTTTGTGTGGTACCGTATCAAAAGCCTTTGAGAAATCCAGATATACCACATCCACCGGCTTACCTCCGTCCATATCTCTACTTACCCCCTCATAAAAAGTTAGCAAGTTAGTTAGGCAGGAACGGTCTTTCCTGAACCCGTGCTGATTGTCATTAACTATCCCGTTTTCCTGAACAAATTCTACCAGATAATCCTTTATTATGCCCTCTAGCATTTTACAAACTACCGATGTTAGACTGACCGGCCTATAGTTCCCAGGTTGGCACCTTGCCCCCTTTTTGAATATTGGGACTACCGTAGCCCTCCGCCAATCACTGGGGATCCTACCAGTCATTAAGGAGTCCTTAAAAATGAGGATTAATGGTCTAGTTATAACCTGGCTTAATTCCTTAAGTACCTTGGGGTGCAGGTTATCCGGACCCACTGCTTTGTTTGCATTGAGCATTTTAAGTCTTTGTTGTATCCCGGTTTCTGTCAACCACTGGGGTATATTTTGAGTTAAACTGGGAGTTTTATCATGTGTGTCAAACCCGTTTCCCTCCCGAGTGTATACTGAGGAGAAAAAAGCGTTCAGCGCCTCGGCCCTCTCCTTGTCGTTTGTGACTAGCTTCCCGCTTCCATCCTTTATTGGGCCTATCTGCTCCTTTCTCACCTTTTTACTGTTAATATATTGGTAAAATTTTTTGGGGTTCTTTTTACTATCTGCGGCGATATGCTTTTCGCACTCAGTTTTAGCTGCCCGGATTTCTAGTTTGCATTTTTTGTTACATTCTTTGTAGTTAAGGAACGCCAATGCCGTCCCTTCCGTCTTATATTTTATAAATGTCGCTCTCTTGTCCTTGACGTGTTGTTTTACAGTTTTATTAAACCATATTGGTTTAGTCTTTGATCTTTTATTTTTGCTCCCTAAAGGTATACACTTTGAAGTAGCAGTATGTAGTGTGTTTTTAAAACAATCCCACATCTGGTCTGTGTTTAGGTTTTGAAATAAGCTTTCCCATTTTATTTCCCTCACTAGGTTGCGCAGCTTATCAAAGTTGGCCCTTCTGAAGTTTAGGGTTCTAGTCCTTCCAGTACACTTCCCTTTTCTGTGTTCAATATTAAAAGTAAATCACATTGTGATCACTATTACCCAATGACTCCCCAATTACAATATCCTCGATTAACTCTGCATTATTAGTGACAATTAGATCTAAGATGGCATTTTTTCTGGTAGGAGTCTCCACCATCTGGTCCATGAAATTGTCGCGCAACATGTTTAGAAATCGCCCCGCCTTTGCCGAACCCGAAGTTCCATTGGCACAATTGATGTCTGGGTAATTGAAGTCACCCATCACGACTACATTGCCCTCTCTCCCAGCTATTCCTATCTGTGAGTGAAGATTGACTTCTCCCTCTTCCCCTATATTTGGAGGTTTATCGCAAATACCCACGAGAAGTTTACGGCTAGCGTCCGTCATATCTAGCTCCAGCCATAGAGTTTCCACGTCTTCCCCATTATTTGACGTGATATCGTCCCTTATATGCACATTTAGATTATTTTTTACGTAAATGCAAACACCCTCCCCTCTTCTCCCACCTCTGTCCCTCCTAAACAGGTTATACCCCTCTATATTAGTAGCCCAGTCATGCGTGCTGTCCAGCCAGGTTTCCGCTATACCCACTATGTCGAAGTCCTCTTCAATTAACCTAATTTCAAGCTCCTCTATTTTACCATAATGTTTGCATTATACTTTATCCATTTACAAGTAGACAATCTTTTTTTCCCCATAAACTTCTCTTTGTACACAGCTAGACTATACTGCCAGTCTCTGTTCGTTAGAGGCAAATAATGCAGACAGGATGTAAACAAACATAAAATCCCAACAAAAACAACTCCAGCTACAATGTTTTTTTTCTAAATGTAATTGTGTACATAGTGGGGACTGTGTAGGACTGATTGTAGATGTTTGTTGTGTTCCTGTTGAGATTTGAGTTCAGATTTTCAATACTGCCTATGTCCACACAGGAGATTTTTCATCACTTCCTTGTCTGACTCTTGTCGCCTAGATAGGAAGGAAGGGAAAAGTTGGGGGTCAGGACAAACATTAGAATTTCAGCTAGCTCCAGGGAATAGAGCGTGCTCAGTGTGTGTCTGATTTTCATACTTCCACTTATCTTCTATTCACTGAATTGTGTGGCTGCCAGCGTAATGTTGATGTTAAAACGGATCCTGTGAGAATTCAGGCGGGTTTGTTACCTGGTTCCAACCACTTCTCATTGGCATTCTCAGTGAATCTTCATACAGGATAGAATCATTTGACCGAAAGATGCAATCCTTCTGGAATTACTTGTGGTACTGGTTATTGTGTAACAATCTGCTTTACCTAAGAGAAGAGAACA